CACCTAATAAATAAAATAATCCCATAAACGATGTAATAGTTATTTATTTTGTTAAGTACCGTTATAAGTTTTTTTTTACAATTTAATCTGTTTTAAGAATTGGCACGTAGAAGGAACAATACGATACTAAAGCTAATGATACTAATAATATTCAATTTAAATATACTGTTAAAATTTCTACAAAAACACATATACAAATATGCAAAAAAACATAAAAATATTAAATTTAAAAAAAATATCTGACAGCACAGCAATTAAAAAGTTACAAAATGTAGAAAAATACACAAATTAATTTAAACACACATAGAGTGAACACTCTTGCAATTAAATAACGTCTCGTATGTCAATGAAATATAGAAAAAAATCTCACCCGGCTAGGAAAGCTGGGATTAAATTAGAATCATATAGAAAATAAATTATAGAAATTGCGTCACCTGATAGCATTCTTTAGAACAGATAAAACATATTCGAACAAACATTCCCAATCGAGGGTTGGGTAAAAGGAGAAGAACAGTGCATTTAATCGGTGACTTCAATATCAAAACAAAACAAGGGGAAGACAAAGTGATGGTGGCTAAAATTAGGCAATAAAATGTATGAAAAAATCAAATGAATCTCGAACGATAATGCGTCTACTGCAGGTGCCGAACAAATAAATAAATAACTTGTTTGATTACATCGACATCGAGCCGGCCTGCATACGTCCCCCCAGGTTGGCCACGCCTAGGACACCTACTGCATACGTCCCCCCTGGTTGGCCACGCCTAGGACACCTACTGCATACGTCCCCCCTGGTTGGCCACGCCTGGGACACCTACTGCATACGTCCCCCTGGTTGGCCACGCCTGGGACACCTACTGCATGCGAGCCCCTGGTTGGCCACGCCTGGGACACCTACTGCATACGTCCCCCCTGGTTGGCCACGCCTGGGACACCTACTGCATACGTCCCCCCTGGTTGGCCACGCCTAGGACACCTACTGCATACGTCCCCCTGGTTGGCCACGCCTGGGACACCTACTGCATACGTCCCCCTGGTTGGCCACGCCTGGGACACCTACTGCATGCGAGCCTCTGGTTGGCCACGCCTAGGACACCTACTGCATGCGACCCCCTGGTTGATCACGCCTAGGACATCGAGCCGGGCTGTAGGCGACCCCTGGTTGACCAAGCTTAGGACATCTACTGCATGCGACGCCTTGGTTAGCCACGCCTAGGACACCTACATAATGCGACCCCTGGTTGACCACGCCTAGGACACCTACAGAATGCGACCCCTGGTTGACCACGCCTAGGACACCTACAGCATGCGACCCCTGGTTGACCACGCCTAGGACACCTACGGCATGCGACCCCTGGTTGACCACGCCTAGGACACCTACGGCATGCGACCCCTGGTTGACCACGCCTAGGACACCTACGGCATGCGAGCCCTGGTTGACCACGCCTAGGACACCTACGGCATGCAACCCCTGGTTGACCACGCCTAGGACACCTACGGCATGCAACCCCTGGTTGACCACGCCTAGGACACCTACGGCATGCGACCCCTGGTTGACCACGCCTGGTTCTCCTACGATGACTTTTTTTTTTCTTTTTAAGTTAAGAATATTACTATTTTTGAGCTCTTTGAGTGCTCCCAGCCACCCCCACTGACTTCCAGCCAATTGTAACAGTTATACAGCAGGATACGCCTTTTGTTATGGTCGAGACCCTCGTGGGAAGGATTACGCAATGAATTAAATCACTTTTAAAAACAAATAGGAAAATAAAGGTTTTCAATGGCCATATTTTAAAATATGTATTACTTTTCAAGAGATTTTCAACCATAATGGGATTAGCTTAAGACTTAAGGGGAACAAATCGTTTGTTTAAGTTTTAACACATTAGTGTTCCTCTCCAAATAACGGAGGAAACTGAGAATTGTTCAGACGATAAGCCAATAAAGTTAAATCGAAGGTTCAACTGAAATTATTCAATAGCGAAGTAAAAATTGAAATTAAAAATTTTAAAAAAACCTACATAAATATTATATTTATTTTAAAACACACACACACAAACACAAACTATTAAATGCCCGAAGTACAAAATAACATTGACGTAGCCTACCACTACCATTCTTTAAATGTCAACTGAGATTATTATTTTTTTTAAACAATAAAACCAAGACCGTTCGTAAAGAAGCAAGTGTTCCACAGTGACAATTTGCCTGCTAATATTTTTTTTTCATTTCATTTTGATCATTACTAACCCATAGGAACCTAAAAGTAGCTCTGAATTTTTTTTTTCAAGTATGGATTTTGATTAGTGCGTCTCGCAGCTTCTATCAGTCTCACTTTTTGGCGAAAGAGAGCCCGGTGACTTACAGCTGTGTTGTGGCGCCGAGCTGTGTAATTTGTGCGCAGCACGCTCGACGCTGAACACACACAGAGATCAATTACAAGCATTATTGATGTTTGGTTGTACGCCATAAGTCTCCCTCTCAATCGCTTTTGTTCTCTCTTTTTCTATCTTTTCATAGTTTTTATAATTTTAAAAACACAGTTACCGTTTGTGCTGCTGGCGTTACTGGTGTCTAGATCTACCAAACATGATTTAACGATAATATGAAAATTATCTTGAATATATTACATTTAATTAAAATATGTCAGTACCTCATGTACATGCAAATTTAATACGCGTAACCTTTAAGTAATGGTAAACGTCATTTTAACAGGCGTGTTTCAAAAGTTGAAAATAAAATTATAATTAAATCCGCTAGCTAATAAAAATACCTGTAAAACTAAAAGTAAACAAGCAATCTGCATTGACTCTTTTTTAAATTAAATAATCGGTTGCAATATCAACTGTAGAATGAATATGTGTTTTGTACGATAAAAATTGGAATGCAAAAATTTTACCTTTCAATCAGTGGCAATCCGAGGAAGGACTACTGAGGAGAACCCCCCTCCCCCTTTTTCCCCCTTTTCCCCCCATTTTTATCTTAAACTTGAAGTTGAACAATTTTTTTTTTATGTAAACCCCTTCCCCCGGAAAAAACACACAAACAATAACAACAAAAAACAATAACACACACATGGATCAAATCCTAGATCAGCTTAATGAGTTCAATGCGTCCTCCTCTCTAACGTCATACTCTACTCGGTCACACAGTTCTGATCTCAATCGTCGATTCAACGTGTGTGACGTCATGTGTGTGGACACATTTAAAGTGCTTAATATGCCGCCTTTGGCTTGACTTTTAGGGACGGGCTTATAATAAAATAGTTCCATTGTTAGATTAGCCAGAAATATACTTTAAGTAGATACGACCATGTGAACAACAAAATTGTTTTAGGTTAAGATGTAGGCCTACTACTTCACAGAGCATTGGGGTAAGTTGAAGGGTCCTGGAACACAGACACAGCATCTCAATTAAATATGACTACATTAGCTGGGGGCGCTTCTTTGGGACTCAATCATTTGTATTGTACATAACTTCTCAAATGAATGTTATACGGAATTTCCCCACTTCCCTTAAAGTTTATCCGTTTTCAATAAGATGATGACCGTGAATTTGGTAATTAGGTTAAGATTAAAGTTAACAAATTTGTTTCAATATTCGTTTTTGAAACAAATTTAACAGTATAAAGCAGTAATGGATCCCAGGTGTACTAATTTTTCACGAGTATTGCTGTAATTATTTTCTGATTATAAAATTAGCTAGCTTACCTTTTTTTTTTTTACTTTTTAAAGTCCAGTCTATATGTAAAAATTGGTGTACGCCAACACATCTACCACTCTATTTAAATAATTTAATATTTATAGGCCCCAATGACAAAACAATTTTTTTTTTAGTCCCATGTCAATTGTTTCATTACTAATAGTAGCCATGAGGACCATTCGTATTAATACAAATTATATAAACCTAAACATTACAAGATATCTGCTACATCCTACTGATACATTTGAATGGAAAAGTCTCTCCTTCTGTGATATGTGTAGTTAAGAATCAAAATATAGAATCGTTTGTTCATCGTTCTTTCAAGTAGCAATTTAGTCTTTTAATCTTTATAAGACGGTAAGGTTAACTTATCAAAATCATTTTTTTAAAGTAGGCCCATCAAGTTTAATCGAATTTTAAAATAGCATACACTTTTACCTATACCAGCACCTAAGCAACGTATTGTACTATTGCTGATCTATATATATTAAAAAAGAACAGATCACTGTCGTTTTATTATGAAATAACACACAACAGGTGCTCGGGAAGGTAAATAGACTATTTATATTTATATTATTATTATGCTTTCTATTTGAATATTATGTTAGCGTATTGACATTGAATTAAATTGAATACTAATAAGGATAATATTAATTTAAACAATGTTTAGATCCAGTCATGAAAACGTTGAACTGACGAATGCAGCACGAACAAATGTAGATTATGTGTAGTGGAAGTGGAACGTTTGGGAGAGTCTTAGACGTCTAAGAAACGAACTCTAAAAAAGAGAAATAAATATGCTACGTTGACACAACGTAACGTAACATAATATTTTATTTTAAATTGCCACAAAACTAACGTTTTTTTTAAAATTAAGATAGAAAATATAAGAAATGAAAAATGTTATATTTATTTTACTTTTTGGAGAGATCATTATATAATTAGAATTACAAATTAAAAAATATTAGGAATCTAAATAAGTAGAAAAGGGCATCGAAACAGATTCAACATTAAGGACCGGATTTTGTAATGACGGTTCATAGGAGACAATTTTAGAGTTGTCTCTCTTGCAATGTTGATTATATAGATCACTCCGCGTTTAAGTATATATCTAACATTTGTAATTTAATTCCTTATTAATTTAAAATTATATATTTACTTAGAAAGGTATCTAACTGATATAAAATATGGATTGAATAATGTTTATTTATATTATTTAATAATTCTTGGTGTTACATTTTTCATTAGGTCTTAAGGCGGATGAATATCCGATCACTGACAGTATTTATTTCCGTGTATTTCCCTAACAAACATCAGTCCAACAAACTCGGGCTGGCGAATTTACACAGTCGTATGATGCAAACAGAGCCAGTCGACTGCTATTTTGTTGTGTTTTTGTGTCATCGTTATTACAGTTTAGCTTCTGTCAATCATAGTAAACACTTTGACGGTGGAACTTGCGAGTGTGTAGGTAGCGGAATATTCAATGGCTGACTCTTTAATGGACTTAGGGATTTTAGCTCAACAAGAACAGGAGGTAGGAAAAGTCGACCTCGATTCAGGAGATTGTGATGATTCTTCCAGTGGCAGTGACAGATCCTATGAAGCAGACGACGCTGATAGCAACGGCCGAGGGGATTCAGGCTCAGGCGGTGCTCAATGCAACAGTAATTCGATGCGATCTAGGAGAAAACGGCGTCATGGTAGCCATGGAAGTAGACGACACAAAGGTGGGAGTCGCCACAAACACAAGTGCTTTCAGCCTTATCCCCCTAGAGATGAAATAAAGCTAAAACGCAAATCTCAAGAACTTCAAGAAAAAGAAAATGCCGCAGCCGTCGTTCGACGTGACGGTGCCAACCAACAATATATGATCTTTCCTGTGGCACCATTTAATTCAACTCAGTATCTCATGGATGAGCACAGTATTGCCTCACCTGCTGGGCTAAACAAAACTCCAAGCAGTTCAAAACTGAATCAGTTTTCTCCACAAAACCTGGCTTTACACTCAGTGCCATCCACTCCAGCAGACATCAATCACGAGTGTATAAACTTTGAAAGAAAGGATAAAGAATTCACTGACATTTATACAACTGTGCATGCAGAGAGTCTTCAAAGTTTACCAAAGGAAGAACTTGTGAAGCACTACATTAGTCTTGAGGAAAAGATTGCAGCTCTTCAGAAAAAAGTTGCTGAAGCTGAGCAGATGAAACTAGAGGATGATGTTAGTACTAAGGCTTATGAAGGTGATAAGGAGGGTGTGTGTGATTCTGTTTGTTGCTCAGATACAAACTCTTTATCCAGCAGCAATGAAGAATTTGTGGACTTAAATGGGGTAAGTCAGACACCCATTTCTCTACCTGAAAACAGTGTTAACAAAACTTTTGAAACCAAGACAGATTCTGTAACAATGGAGGATACCAACACCAGTCTTGGAGCTTCCTGATTCTAAACAGTGCCCACTGCCATCCTGAAATGTTATTTAAGAATTCTGACCACACAACAATGATGTTATGATTTATGACCTATAAAATTTTAAAAAAAGAAAAGGCAAGCAAATGTGGTAGAACTATTTTCAGATCTGCTCCATTAATAAAAATGTAATTAAAAACTTTATATAAACATTTGAGCCCAACTTAGGCTATTCAGTTAGATGTATTTAGAGCAAAACAATAAATGTTAAAAATTGTAACTTAAAATATTAACTGCATTTACTGTGTTAATGAAACAAATGAAAAATGTATGTTATTTTGTAAGTAGAACTTTTTTTACCATACACATAATGATTATGAACTGGTAGGTGTTAAACTTGTTAACAATGACTAGACAGTCTTGCTTTTTTTTCTCTTCATTTTAACCTTTCAAAAGTGAAAATGTCTTGACTTGTAATATTATTTGTTACATCTTGGTTCGAGAGTTTAGTTATTTTTTTATAATTGTGTTTATCTTGGCTCAATACACAAAACTTATAGCTTTTCCATTAACATTTTCTTAAGTTAAGATTTTTCTCTTTCTCCTTAGATTATGTCAAAGCTGTTACCTTTTACATGGGCTACTTATATTCATTTAAAAAGAATAAATATTAATAGACACTGAGTAAGCATTTATTAATTATTATTTACTGCCTAATTTAGAAATTTGTCTAGTGCATTTCTTCTATTGACAGTGTTGAGTTGATAAAGTTTACACCTAGTCTCTTTAAAATGTTATGATGGTGCTTATGTATAGGTTCAAATGATAATGGAAGGTATAAATGTGATAAGATTCTGTGCATGGACCGGATATTGCTCCATTTATAAAAACACTTATTTTGTTCTAGTTAAAATCCCAATTTTGTTCTAGTTAAATCCCAAAGGGATCAACAAAAGTTGTGTTTCTATGGGGGTTTGGGTAGTAACACGTTCATTGATACTAATGTAACTTGGAATAATGACAGATGTCATTTAAAACCTAAAATAATTTGTATTATTGAAACAACACTCTTTCCCTAATGGTGATAAATGGGGGCACAATATTACAGAATTAGCGCTTGATAACTGCAACTCATTCAATTTTTCTCCATTGGTATATATTGTACCGGTAGTGCGAAACAATTACACAAAATTCTATTCTGTTATGGTTCACTTAAGTGTTATAGAAAGAAAGTATAATCTGTTAGCATTTTAAGATGCCTCTCATCCACGTTTGCAGTTTTTTGGGCAAAATTAATGTATAAAAGTATTACATGTTTTAAAATTTCTTTCAAAGAATTACCAAATTTATGACATTCTAAAACAACAGGATAGTACTCTTACTAATTAGATTAAGCTAAAGTTAAATTTTGATTTTGTTTTGCCCTGTTGTGAGTCTTTAAGTGTATTTTTGAAGAAACTCTGTTTTTTTAAAATTTTGTTTGGGTGGGGAGAGGGTTATTTTAGTGAACAGCACTAAAATGTTTCCTAGGCTTAGATTTGAATAAACTAGCAAAATTCAGTGAAACGATATCTTTCCAGTTTATTTTTAACCTTATTGTCAAATATAAATTTTTACAACCAATAAAATCTGTTAATTCTCATGACACTTTTGAAATTATTGTTTGTTTTGTGTAAATTCTGTTTGCCAAATGAAAATGCTCAAAAGTTGACAGTTTCTATGTACGGTACACTTTTGAAAACTGAGCATTACATTTGAGATTGTTTTCTGTTTAAAGTTTAGTTTTTTTTGTTCAAAGAATTTATAGGAATAAATGCAGTGATGGATATTGACATATTTTATCTTATAAACTTTATTTAAAGTTTCAATGTCAGATATTTAGCATTAATCTAAATAATATAATTCATAATAAAATTTTAAAAAGTGGTACCGGTATTATTTAATTTAATCTTCACACATAATTTCCAACTGTTTAAATTCAATTAGGTTATTTTATCTAAAATTGTGTAACTGAGGTAATTTAAGATTTAAATTAATAATTTAGTACATATTACAAATGTTGTTTTCAGGTAAAATGATCTAATGCAGATTTACAATGAGACACAATTATCTTCTAATATTGGTATAATTTAATGTTGTAAATCATAGCTTTGTATTGCAAGGGCAATAACAAGCTATTTATTTTTACACTTCTCTTTGGTTACTTCCCCTTGAAACTATTAAATTTACAAATAGAAAGTTAAAAATCTCTTGACCTAATGAGACCTGCATTTTATGTTGGATCAATAAATGTCCCAATTGTAGAGATGTGAAAGTAATTTTTTTCCCTAAAAGATTTTTTGAGACTTAGTCTTAGTGACATAACCTACCAGTAATTTTTGGTTGTTGAGGTCTATAGGTCCAAGTTTTACAACTTCTAGTTACACTTGGGGGAAAAAGTGTACTCAAGCACATGGTGTGCAACCCAAGCGATGCAATGATTTATCCCATGCATTTTGTCATGGTTTTTAAATCAACTATCGTAAATCATGAATGAATTTTTTTGTCTTGGCTTGTATTGAAAGATTTTTTTTTAAAAATTGAAATTTGTAAATAATAATAAAATTATGGAAAGATTACCTTGATCTGGCTTGCTAACACTAACAGTTTCACTACACACTCTAAATAAGCAAAGTAAATGAGTTAAATAATGTTAAGGGTAATGTTGAAAGTGGTTAAAAATAACTTTGAAGGATAAAACACAATTTATCTTAATGATTATTACAAAGCATCTTCCATGGTGGTAATCTATTCTATTTCTATTTGCTTATTTTTATTATTATTTTTTTTTTTTTTTTTGAAAAGGGAAAGAATGAGTTGAATCAGTGTAGCAAACATTGATGCAATTTCCTAGGTCCATTTTAAGAGTTTTTAATCTTCATTTTTTTTATTCTTTTTTTCATCTTTTGGTTTTATCTTAATGATTATTACAAAGCATCTTCCATGGTGGTAATCTATTCTATTTCTATTTGCTTATTTTTATTATTATTTTTTTTTTTTTTTTTGAAAAGGGAAAGAATGAGTGGAATCAGTGTAGCAAACATTGATGCAATTTCCTAGGTCCATTTTAAGAGTTTTTCATCATCATTTTTTTTAGTCTTATTTTCATCATTTGGGCAAAGTCACCCATAATACACATGTAACTGAATATATTTATAGATTTAAAAAAAAAAGTATTAAAATTTTAAAGAAATGTCTCATTTGTTTTTACAGTGCACCAGTATATAAACGATAATATATTGTGAATGTTATTTTTATACAAAAGTATTTAGCACAATATTTGTGAAGCATTTTGCCACAGTCTTTCCTTTTTCAAGTTACTATGTTGGGTACATTTTAACTCAGCATTTGAAACATATTTTTTCATGTATGTACATTGTTTCTTATGTTACAATTTGTTAAAAATACATGGACTTTTTCCCCCACTCTTATATTAAAATGGAAAGTGTGGACTAGCAGAGTTCTGTGTTGTTACTGTCTCTGTCATGTGTTAATGTAATCTTTATTGTCAATGTCATGTTTTGTCATTTTATATTATCTTAATAGCTGTGTTGAAGTATGCATTGTTATCTTTAGTTTGTTAGTTAAAGTTTTGATGCAGTTTGGTTGGAGGGGGTGTCCTTGGGGTGGGGCTTTCTTCTAGTGAATCCACCACTGTGATTAGGGTATTTCATGAGTTCCCAACTGCATTGGCATGGCATAGTGTTATTGGTGGGATGACAAACATTGCATTGTGGTGGAAGAGTTGGTGGTAACTTGGCCTACTTTATTGGTGTGGGTTTGTCAGCTGAATCTTACATGAGACAAGAGACATCTATCTTCTGCTTTTCATATGCAGTGTTGTTCAGGGCTGTGCGAATGGGGCGGTCGTGGTGCGGTCACCCTGAGCACTAGCCTCAATGGGTTGGTAACATTGTAAATTACTTATCTATGTATTTTGTAAATAGACATTTAATATATATAAATTATTATATTATGACTGTCTTATTAGATCATTTATTGATGAAACCAGGGGGAGAGGGGGGCGCCATTTTTGGACTTCGTCCCCTGGCGCAGCTATTGCTCCACATGGTCTGGTCATGGTCTGTTGGTGTAGCTATGGGCTCCATTGTTGATTGTGCTTAGGGCGGCCAACGTAATTATAAATCTGGACTTAGCCTGGGGCCAAAACAAACTCATCTAAACTGCGACATCATTTCAAAGTCAATATGAAAATGATGGCACTTGGGCAAATGAAGTGTATAAAGCATACCCTCGATTTTTATTTAATTTTTGGGGTGAGAGGATGATACAAAATTGATCATTTATTTCTAAATCAATTAACGTAATCGAAGCATTTTGTACTGGTTACCAGAGAAGAGATCCATTCATTGTAAGTGGGGGGCACCTGGCTATGAATTACTGCACTGATTGACATCAACTCCAAAGACTTCCAATTTTCCTCTGCCGTCCACATACACTAGCTACAGAGGTACACGTCTGTCTTTGCAATCGATGGCGTCGGAGGTGACCTGAGGTCGCGTGACATTTGGAGGCATCCTGCATCTTTTCTGTTGAATTTACCCTGCATTTAAAGTTTGATTTTTTTTTCACATCAAAACTTGTGGGCACTTCATATATCCAAGACCGCAGGGGCTGCGGCAGGGCCGGCCCGATGGTTGCTTGCGCCCTGTGCGAGCTTAACTTTGGCGCCCATTATAAGTATAATCATTAAAGGAAAAAAACTAGTTATTCCGAAATGAGATTATTACCTATGTTGTTGTTTTTCAAACAATGAACAGTTCATTGTTTATTTAAATAAAACATAGGTAATAAACTCACTTCGGAATAACTAGTTTTTTCCTTTAATGATTATACGTATAAGGAGCGCCGAAGTTAAGCCCTAATTCAACTTTCGCACTGTGTGAAGTACCCGTTCTGCGCCCTCTTCCCTGTATTTGTATGGCTCTGCTCTTGTTCCGATTACGACGTAGGCTAAGGGGGGTGTGTTTGGCAGTGTTATGATGCTATACATGTAGCTACTCATACGCATTTTAACATGCACATTAATTTAGACTGTTCGTTTTTCTACGGTTCTTTGTTACATTCCACACCAGCTTTTCCCCCCAATATTCTTTCTGCTGAAATAATTGTAAATGGGACAAGGAAATGCGGTATTAACAAAGAAATATCCACGCAATAAATAAATAAAATTTAAATTGAAACATACAAGAATTACAGCGCTGTGATTTCACACCAGCTTTGATCAATGAATTGATCATTCTGGCTCCTATAAATCGATTACATGAACGTTGAGCTAGATTTAATGAAAAGCTTTTTAAAAAATGTAGTTGTTTTTAAAAACAAGAAATAAAAGAATTAAGAATTTAAATTTAACGTGCGATGGCAAATAGTGCACTTTTCATTAATTATCATTAATTATCAAATCAAAAGCCCTTGGGTTTTCTCTAACTAAATGTAGTACTTTTATAACACTATTTCCTGAATAAAGAGAGTTCTTTAATTTATTTTTTTAAAATTATTATTAAGAATTTATTAATTTTTATAAACATAAAAATAATCAACTATCTGCCCCACCTATTTACCGGATTTTTTTTAAAAACTAAAATTTTCTATATGAGAATCCAGTAGAAAGGCCCCACGCCACCAGTATCATTACGAAGTAAAATTTTGATTAAAATGCCAATTCTATTTAGGTATTTATTTAAAGTTATACTGGCGTTAGAAAAGAAAAGAAAGAAAAAAACAACAACTAAATCTTCATTTTAAACTTAAATTCTATGGATTTGGTAAATTAAAAAAAAGGTAATAAAGAATATCGAACAGGCAATTTGTCATTTATCTCAAAAAGTTATAGTATAGTACTTTGAAATTCCAAATAAACATTTCAATAAACTGAATATATGAAAATGTATGCTTTCTTTTTATTCGATTTTCCTCATTTATAAAATCAAACATTAATTAATATATGATGTCTTTGTAAACGGCAGTGTCATGTCTTCTTAGCATAATTATGCATTCATATTAGATTGATAAAAATGACCACTTTTGAAAACACAACACACGAATATCTGAAATGCGCAACCCCCCCCCCTCCCCCCC